ATGGATAAAGGAACTGTAATGTAGAAGTAGGGCAGGGCCAACGTCAGCAGCTGTTATACGGTCCATTTGAAATGTTTGACTTTCATTAAGCTTGTTATGTGACAGGTTAGAGCACAGTCTCAAGTTAGAGTTTTGTCATGAGAACATTGAGATACCTCACATGCTGATGGCATCTAAAAAACTTTTTTTTTTCAAAGAATAATTTTAATCACAATTGGAACATACAATCCTAGAAAAACTCATCCAATCAATGTACACGTCCTGTTCTCACTGATTGGATAGAAATCCTTCCATCAAACTGTGTGTCCGTGTGTGTGTGTGTGCACACACGAGCATGTTGTGAACTGGTGTTGTAGTTTTGCACTGATGTAACCATCTTTACGCTGACAAAAATGTAACTAAGTAACTTTTACTTTGAGTACATTTTATTTACGATACTTTTTTACTTGTACTTGAGTAAAAATTTAGGCAAGTACTTTTACTTGAGTAAAAAATGATCAAAGTACTGGTACTCGTACTTAAGTAGGAAATTTTAGTACTCTTTCCACCTCTGGAACTCTGGTCCTCAAGGGCCGGAATCCTGCATGTCTTTCCTCCACCACTTCTGATTCAGTGGTTGATTTACCTGTTCATGAGCTCATCAGGCTCTGCAGAAGCCTGGTAATCACCTGCTGATTGAAATCAGGTGTGCTGAAGCAGGGTTGAAACTAAAATATACTGGACCATATATATATATATATACAGTGGGGCAAAAAAGTATTTAGTCAGCCACCGATTGTGCAAGTTCTCCCACTTAAAATGATGACAGAGGTCAGAATGTGAAAAAAAAATCCATGAATTCACGTGGCAGGATTTTTAAAGAATTTATTTGAAAATTAGGGTGGAAAACAAGTATTTGGTCAATAACAAAAATTCAACTCAATACTTTGTAACATAACCTTTGTTGGCAATAACAGAGGTCAAACGATTACTATAGGTCTTTACCAGGTTTGCACACACAGTGGCTGGTATTTTGGCCCATTCCTCCATGCAGATCTTCTTGAGAGCAGTGATGTTTTGGGGCTGTCGCCGAGCAACACGGACTTTCAACTCCCTCCACAGATTTTCTATGGGGTTGAGGTCTGGAGACTGGCTAGGCCACTCCAGGACTTTCAAATGCTTTTTACGTAGCCACTCCTTTGTTGCCCGGGCGGTGTGTTTGGGATCATTGTCGTGTTGGAAGACCCAGCCACGTTTCATCTTCAAAGCTCTCACTGATGGAAGGAGGTTTTGGCTCAGAATCTCACGATACATGGCCCCATTCAATCTGTCCTTAACACGGATCAGTCGTCCTGTCCCCTTAGCAGAAAAACAGCCCCAAAGCATGATGTTCCCACCCCCATGCTTCACAGTAGGTATGGTGTTCTTGGGATGCAACTCAGTATTCTTCTTCCTCCAAACACGACGAGTTGAGTTTATACCAAAAAGTTCTACTTTGGTTTCATCTGACCACATGACATTCTCCCAATCCTCTGCTGTATCATCCATGTGCTCTCTGGCAAACTTCAGACGGGCATGGACATGCACTGGCTTCAGCAGCGGAACACGACTGGCACTGCAGGATTTGATTCCCTGCCGTTGTAGTGCGTTACTGATGGTGACCTTTGTTACTGTGGTCCCAGCTCTCTGCAGGTCATTCACCAGGTCCCCCGTGTGGTTCTGGGATTCTTGCTCATCGTTCTCATGATCATTTTGACCCCACGGGATGAGATCTTGCGTGGAGCCCCAGATCGAGGGAGATTATCAGTGGTCTTGTATGTCTTCCATTTTCTGATAATTGCTCCCACAGTTGATTTTTTCAACACCAAGCTGCTTGCCTATTGTAGATTCACTCTTACCAGTCTGGTGTAGGTCTACAATTCTTTTCCTGGTGTCCTTCGAAAGCTCTTTGGTCTTGGCCATAGTGGAGTTTGGAGTCTGACTGTTTGAGGCTGTGGACAGGTGTCTTTTATACAGATAATGAGTTCAAACAGGTGCCATTAATACAGGTAACGAGTGGAGGACAGAAAAACTTCATAAAGAAGACGTTACAGGTCTGTGAGAGCCAGAGATTTTCCTTGTTTGAAGTCACCAAATACTTATTTTCCACCCTGATTTACAAATAAATTCTTTAAAAATCCTGCCATGTGAATTCATGGATTTTTTTTCACATTCTGTCTCTCACAGTTGAAGTATACCTATGATGTAAATTACTGACCTCTGTCATCATTTTAAGTGGGAGAACTTGCACAATCGGTGGCTGACTAAATACTTTTTTGCCCCACTGTATATGTGTGTGTGTGTGTGTGTGTATAAGACAAGTAGACACAAACACACACAATTGGATTTCTAGAATTGTGTCTCTTCAGCAGGCTGTTGAAGTGGGTAATTTCTTAACATTTATATGTTCAGATTTTTACAAATTTACAAATGATGTCAGGAAAAGATTTCGTCATACAACTGATGAGGAACCAAATGAGTTACAGGTCACAGCTTTGTACTTTGTACACAGCTTGTGTCAAAATTTGTTTTAGAACTTATTTTAGTAACCGTATTAATATTAATAGAATCATCCAGATAGTTTGAAAAAATATTCATTTTGATGCTGTTCCAGGTCACAAACTCTAGCTTTTGTAAATAATAATAATAAAAAAGCTTGTATGTATACCCATACCAAAAAGCTTGAATGTTTGCCTAAAGAGGTTTACCCCTTAAGTCCTAGGCCTGTGACGTTAGTTCATTAACAGGCCCAAAACAACCCTCATACTACAGAAGAAATAGTTTTACTTCCCATCAAATTAATCAGCAAACCTAGCACTACAAGGCTATCTAAACTATTTTTACCATTAATTACCATTTTTACCATTTTTCGAGGAATAGGCATCAAAATAGGCTTAACCAAATTAAATGTTAAGAATAAATTATATTTTTCTTTAAATGAAATTAACTGGAAAAAAAAACCGAGGCAACTTAGAGATGTCATACTATCCCTTAAATAATCTGCTCTAATATGGACCAAATTTCTGAGAAAAATGACAAATAATTTTGAATAACAGCAAAGATTCAGACATACATCAGTGCTGGTGGTCAAACTAAAGGTTTGGCCTGAATATAAGTCTTTAAACACAGCCTGCTGAACCTTTTCCTAAGTTAAAAATAGCTCCAATCCATGCACTCAATAAAATCTAAATATTTATTCTAACTGAGCCTTCACCAGCAGTAATTTGATATTAAAAACGTACAAGTGATCCAACCTTGGGCTAGTTTTATTTACATATCTAATTCATTCTTTAGAACTTGAAAAAGCTTGCCCAAATCAAAAGCAGACTGTTATTTGGTTTTCATGCGTAATACAAAGTGCCTCAACAAGTCACGTTGAGAAACTCTGCTCAGCAAACATGCCATGGAGATTTTATGATCCTGTGTTGCAACAACAACGCAATGAAACTGATAATGCAGGTAGAAACATGTTGATGCTGTAAACCTTTCATCGGAAAAGATGAGATGATGTATCAACGTTTCTGGATGTCCATGTGTGACATCAAAAGCAGTCATATAGAACAAACGTGAAAGTATGTGGCTTTACTGTATGTGTTGCTTGTGTGTGTTGCATGGAGTGGAGGTCCCCCTATTTACAATTCAATTCATTTCAATTCAAAAATACTTTATTAATCCCAGAGGGAAATTGATTAAGGGGACCACAGGGTGTCTTCCAACTCCAGGGGGATGGCAAGGTCTATTCATGGGTTCTGGAGAGGAGGGCCTGCCAGATAGTCAAACCTCAGATTCAGGAGGAGCGATGTGGTTTACTTCCTAGCTGTGGAACACTAGACCCGCTCTATACCCTGAGGGGTGTCCTGCTGGATGCATGGGAGTTTGCCCAACCAATCTACATGTGTTTTGTGGATTTATGGAAGGTGTTCAAGGGGGGCTTGTGGGGGTTACCAGGCCTTTCGATATGAGCTGTTAGAGCTTGGTTCACATTGCCAGGCAGTTTATCTGGCTTGTTCCCGATCAGAGTTGGACTCTACCAAGGCTTCTCTTTGTCCAACCTGACCCAGAATAAATGGATGAAAAGTGATGGATGGATGGATGGATGGATGGATGGATAGGTGGAATGATGGATGGATGTGTTGCTTTTGTATTTGCTCTGATAAGGACTGTAAATCAGATTAAAACACTTCTAATGTTCACACTTTAGGTTTAATTTTGATTAATTTGTTGATTAGTTTTATAGATCCTATGGGGTTCCAACATTGCCTCCACCCTAACACACACACACACACAGAGAGAGAGAGAGAGGAGAGAGAGGAGAGAGAGAGAGAGAGAGAGAGAGAGGAGAGAGAGAGAGAGAGAGAGAGAGAGAGAGAGAGAGAGAGAGAGAGAGAGAGAGAGAGAGAGAGAGAGAGAGAGAGAGAGAGAGAGAGAGAGAGAGAGAGAGAGGATCATGGTCTGATTGACTAGTCCAACAAACATGTGGACCCAAAAACAGAGTTGACTGGCTACAAAAAAGGAAAATATAATTGTTTCAAAAAATGACAAAGCCCTGCCATCTAGTGGAGAAGATGGCAAGGCAGTGCAAAAGCAAATGGGAAAGAGAATCAAAAATAAATAAAACTAAAAAGGCTGACATATATTTACCCACTTTATGGTAACTTTGTATGTTTAAATCTATAATTTCAAGTATGACATTGTTTTAGTTTGAGAAGATGTGTTCGCTAAATGAACAGAAGAGAAATAAAGAGATTCCAAACAAAGAACTCGAGATGGTAACCAGCAGTTTTCTCGTTTGTCTTTAAAACTAGCATTTTTTAGAAAATGTGTTTTATATATATTATTGTTTTTTACCACCTGTTACAATTACCTCTTCATATCGAAAAAAAAATACAATTCTAAATCTGAATGAGGTCTGGTTGACTGCTCCAGAAAACTCTTTACGCCTCAAGCAACACCGGAAGTGGTGAGCATGACGATTCTATCCGGATGTGTGTCATTGCTTGATCGAGCAAGTTCCTGAAGTGAGAGCTCTGACCTAAACAAAAACACCTTGCTCAGTGGCTCTTGTTCGAGCCAGCTTCCTGAAATCTGTTCTGTTGTCTCACCATGGTACTGAAATCATGCTGTATTTACGCCATCGGAGTCTTTTCTATCCTGCTGCTTCTTTTGGGCATTTCTTTAGTTTTGTCTGACGTGTTTCCAAATGTTTTGAAGAAGACGGTTAAAAAGGTAAGCATGCTAATCCCTAGCTTTGCAGCTATGTTTGCTAACATTATCTTAGGAATTGAATTTCATTTTTTATTGTCATTATGCATACACTTAACAAAATTTGGTTGGTAAATGGCACTAAGACCACAAATAGAATGATAAAAACATGAAGAGTAAAAAAAATAATAAAAGAACAACACATAGCCTTCCCTTTAGGGAGCCATACACACACTAGTAAAATGAGTAAAAAAGCAGAATAATTAAAAAGATAAACATTGCGCTGACTGACATTCGAATCGTACTGATCGACATGTTGATTGATATTATTGCACTACTTGTTATTGCACATAGAAGATTCAAGTGTGAACAGGACAATAGCAGCATGAAAAAACAGGATCATTGTAAATGACAGCCAACCCATCATTAAAAGTCTAATAGTCTCATGGGTCATTGTTTTGGGAGTGTAGGTATCTGCAGGGCTCGGGTTAGGTAGTTAGAATAGCAGTTCAGCAAACCATTGCTACTGGTTAACATTTGTTTTCTTATGAAATTTGTAGCCACATTTTTTAATGCAAATTAATATTCTGAAACTGCAGCTTGTGTTGCTTGAATTAAATAGTTGTAAGTTGCTACATTCACGTTATTTCAATCATCAAATTCTCTGACCTTGGAACATGTATGTTAAGTGAATCTGAAGCATTTATTTAAGCGTGTCAGTAATTAGATGACCGAAGTAACCCTTTTAAACTGTTGTATGTACTTTAGGTTTTTTCCTGTCTTTACTCAAAAATGTTGTTTGTGGCTTGGATGTCCTAATCAGGGCATGAGCTCACCCTCACATGTCTTGTGAAACTACTCATCAGCAGATCTGGTTAACCAACTTCGCTTTGTCTTATTTCTGTAGGAAGTAGTTTTGAGAAATGGGACGGAGGCTTTTGAAGCTTGGGAGGATCCTCCTGCACCCATCTACATGCAGTTTTACTTCTTTAATGTGACAAACCCAGAAGAGGTGCTGGATGGGGAAAGGCCAGCTGTGGTGGAAATTGGACCGTACACATATCGGTGAGAGAATATCAAGAATGCAAAAGCCTTCTACCAGTGCATGGGTGTTTCATAGCCAGATCCATTACAGCTGCTTGTTGTTATAAATAATAGAAGCAGTCATTCGTGAAGATCGAATGACTGGCGAGAGCTAATTTTTAGTTTCTAAAGCAATCAGGAAATCAAAAGGTGTTTCTGTAAGAGCCACATGCACTTGAAAGAAATATAATGTCTGAAAAATTGTCAAATAAATTGTCATCTTAAAAAAAAACATCGGGAACAGGGTAAACTGGTTTAAACCAATTAACCAAATGGTGTCAGTAAAGCCTCATGCATTTCCCTTCCAGAAAAAAAGAAAGTCACACAGACATGCTAAGTATCAAAATGAATTGTTTTGGTAATGGGAGAATCAGACATTAAGTTTCTTCAGCATGTTCCACAGATTTCAAGTATGGGTTAAGATCCATGCTCTCTATTAACCATTCAACATGTGAAAATGATGTCTCATGCTCCCCGATTCAGTTTTGGGCAATTACCATTATGGAAACTTGACCTGCATGCCTACATCTACTGCTCTTCTTGCTTCCATCAGTCCTAAACCGGTTGCATCTTGGCCCAACTTGACCTTTCTCTGTTGCTCCAGAACCACACTTTTATGCTTTCTTTAAAATTGGAGTCTTTTTTTTAAAATGAACATCACACACAAGTTTTCTTAAAAATTACACAGCTTTATTTTCTAACGTAGTGGTGTATTATTTCACCAGGCAATATTATTCCTCCACGTTTACCTAAACAGGCGTGTCCAAACCTTTTGAGACAAGGACTAAAATAATCTAGTTTAAAGTATTTTCCCACCACAAAAATGTTATTTTCTTAATTTTAAAAATCCATACATTATTTTATGGTTATTTTATTCATCTGTACTCTTCAAAGTATGTCCAAAAGAGACATTTAAGTACAAATGTGAAAAATAACCTGCTGGAGACACAAAATTTATCGTTGTAGAAATTCAAGTTGGGGCTGCATAAAAGTCACTGAGGGCCTCAAATGGCCCCTGGACCACACTTTGAACATTCCTAAATCCTTCATTGTTTTTAAATTTAGAGCTATAATAATAATAATAATAATAATAGTAATCATAATAATAATAATAATGCACTGAACTTATATAGCGCTTTTTAGGGCACTCAAAAACGCTTTTACACACTCACACTGCCAGTGACGGTAAGCTACTTTGTAGTAGGGGTTGTATGAACTAGTCGACCTCACTGCTCTGTAGTGACTTTTTATGCTTGTCATCAACTAGTCGCTGTCACGTGATAATGACTGACAATATGCAGTCCTCGGAAAAGACAGCAGGTGACGAGCTCCTGCGCGTCTGGAGGCAACTCGCTGTGCCAGAGCGTCGGTACTGACACCCGCCGTAAAACGGTCATTTAACCAAATTGTGACGTTTACCCTCTTGCAATTTTACCTTCCCTTCACCCCCATCCTAACCTTAACCAGCTTGCGCATGCAAAGCTCTGATTGTTGACGCGCTCCAGACATCTGCGTCCTGAGCACGGCCACAGTAACGTTATCAAATCAGGTGTCGCCACCTCAAAAACTAATTTAACACACAATCGTTCATGTCGGCTCATTTCCTTTTATGTTTTCTGTCTTTTATTCTTTTATTTGTGCCTGATGCTTTTCACTGCTGTGGAGCGGAGCGCATCACCTTGTCCTCCGGTGACACACCTCACCGGTGCGGCCGGCGAGCGCTCCGCTATTTTTGCGGTCGGTAGATCTTTTAGAACTGCAGTTCAAAGGTAACTCATGAGGTGAATATATATGAACCCAGGTAGCAGTTTTTCTTTAGGATTGAGAGGAGATGCAGGAAGATAATAAGCAGGCAGGACAGAAAAATAGTCAAATAAAAACAAGTTAGTTTTTGTACCTGGTGGTTGCAACAAACAGACACCATTGAAGGTAATCAGAACTGAGGAACAGAAAATGAAATAATTATTTTAATGTTTAGAGCAGCAGGAACTCTGAGAGGCTGCAGGCGCATCAGTGAGTTTGCGGCCGCTGCGCAGGGGGAGGGGCAAGAGAGCTGAAGCAGAAACTACCGTTGTTAAAAGAAATGTGTTTAACTTTGAAAATGTGGGCGCAATTTTAATTGTCAAAAACTCCAGCGAACCAACCGACCCCCGCGCTGCTTCTGGTGTATGACGTCATCAACGACTAGTCAAAGTCGACTCGATTTTCATTACTTGACAGTCGACTTTAAAAAAAATTAAGTCATGCAGCCCCTACTTTGTAGCCACAGCCGCCCTGGGGAGGTCTGACAGAGGCGAGGCTGCTATTTGGCGCCGTCGGCCCCTCTGACCTCCACTAACACAGGCAAGTTGAGTGAAGTGTCTTGCCCAAGGACACAACAGCAGAATACCCCTGGCAGGAATCGAACCCATGACCTGCTCTACCACCTGAGCTACTGCTGCCCCTGGATAGAGCTATACTCTATCCAGGTGATGAGTATTCCATGTTTCAAGAAGACAGCTACCACATTATATTAGTAGAAGTTCAGACCACCGTCCAGGAGGATCGGGCCAGAAAAGGTTAATTGCTGATGCACCTTGAGTGTTGTCTGTTCTGATGGAGATCCTGTGTGTCCATATCAGAGCAGACCCAGCTCTGGGATCTTTTTTAAATCTTGAAACTAAAACAGTCCTGTGTTTTCCTAAAAGCTTTTATGTCATGACTCATGCAGCCTTATTTTACCTGGAAAATCCCTGTCATCTGTTTAACTAGCATAGAGCAACTCACAGCTATCTGTTTTCTTTGTTGTTTAAGTTTGAAATAACTGCATTAGAGTTCTTGACATTGTTATCATGTTTGTATTTGTCTACACAGAGAGTACCGGCCCATGGAGAATGTGGTCTTCAAGGAAAATGGAACCAGAGTGTCAGCAGTCAATCCTAAAACCTACATCTTTCAGCTCAACATGTCCCGAGGTCCAGAAAGTGACCTCATACGGACGATTAACATCCCCGCTGTAGTGAGTAAAATGTTTTAACTGGTTACCAACATGGTGATTTTTGTCATGAATGAATGAAAAACTAAATATTTGTATCATTGAGGCACGCATTTATGGATTACCGGGTAGTTAGTGACACTCACAGTGACAACATAACGTAATTCTGTAGGAGAGATGCATATTTTGGTTATTCTTCAAATATAGAGCAATGGAAATCCTCCTGTGCCATTTCTGTTTGGTCAAATGTGTATTTTAGATCATTTACTCAAGTAAACATGTGAATACCAAACAGTAAAAGCATTCAAGTACAAGTAAAGTGTTGCATTAGCAAAAATGTACTTGAGTAAAAATTTGGATTCTCCTGGCTTTTTTCATAATGAATGAATAGATTAATTGTTTGTAAATATGTAAATTCTAAGTACGTGTAACATTTATGAAGTGATGACAAATTAAATTGACTGAAGGAAAACTGGTTTTACTGAACTTTTTAAATGAAGGCTGGCTGTTTAACGCTCACTTCATACACATTAAGATGATCGTGTGTTTACTGGTAATTCTGACATAAAGGTTCAGAATTGTGAAGTTATTTTTTTGTCATAGATGCACATTAGATAATATGAAGTGGCTTGTGTTTATTTATTTATTTCCAAAGGAAAACGTAATGATTCAGTGTGACTCACTCACTAGAGGCTTTTATTTGATACCGGGATGTCCAATGCTGTCCGTGCCCTCCTTCTCCACAGACGGTGATGGAGAAAGTCAAGAACATACCTGTAGTTCCCCGTCTGATTTATGACTACATGAGGTCCCGAGGTATCGGCCTGTTCACCACCCGCTCTGTGGGAGAGCTGCTATGGGGATACGAGGATCCTTTGCTCAAAATGGCCAAAGTATTTGTCCCTTCCCTGGATGATGTTTTTGGACTTTTCTATAAGACCAACGGCTCAAGTGATGGAGAATACGTCTTGTTCACTGGCCAGCAGAACTACAAGGACTTTGGTAGAGTAGACACATGGAACAGTCAAAGGTAATCTTTTCATCTTTGGCAGAACTTTATAGAACTGTGTGTCCCTAATCATAAACCTACTAAACAGGCCGAGTGATGATTCGTGCAGTCCTACTAAACACGAGCCACGGGTTATAAACGTCAACTCACCTGGTTCTCAAGATGCTGACAAAAGCTGAAATTTGTACCATGTTTGTGTACAACTGCAGGTCTTTGGACTGGTGGACAACTGATGAGTGTAACATGATTAATGGAACCAATGGAGCTTTTTTCCATCCTATCATCAGCAAGGAGGAGATCCTCTACATGTTCTCCTCTGACATTTGCAGGTGAGCTGCAGTCGAAGTAAGTTGAGAGATGTCCTGACTGGGGGTGCAGCGATTGCAATTTTTGGCCAGTCACCGATCTTGAGAAAAACCTGACTTGCTGATACCCATTTAGTCTTAACCAAAAGCAGATTACATCAATGTTTCAGTTTCCTCTAATTGAGAAAACCAATATGAATACTCATGAAACAGTACTGGTTTTAACTGGACATGAGGTAATGTTCTCAAATATAAACAAACATGATTAGCATTGCTGTTTGAACTACTAAATCATATTTGTTCCTTTAGACTGTCATTTTTCTAATTTGGAAAACAAAACGTTTGTACCTGTTTTGACACACACGTCCCCAAAAATTCTTCTACAGCAATGATTTGCTTTAACATTAGCTAGGAGTGCACTGACTGCAGTTTTTGGCCGATTATCGATCTTGACAAAACCCGAGATCGGGGCCGATAGATTGGTGCGTCCCTAGTCCTGACATTATTGTTTTAGTTTGGTGGTTTTATGCTCACTTTTCATTTAATCTAAAACATTGAAGCACCACATTACTCCAGCTAGAGGACATTTAGACACAATTATTTAATTTAACTGATCATCGACTTGTCATGTTTGAAAAATCTGCATGAAAATAAGTTTTTGCTGAAAAAGCAGCCGTGATTTTCACCTAAGCGTAAGGCATGTAATGAAATGCCACTCTCAGTAGTCCTCCTAATCCTTATGATCCAGGTCTGGAGATTAGATTAGGAACACCAGTTTAGGCCGACTGGTGGAATTTCTGATCAGTGTTTCTTTGTTATGTGAAGCCACCGTTAACGTGCAGCTTGTAACACTTTAAACAAGAAATACCAGATTGGACTGTAAATGCATGGAAGTGTAGCCTCTGATGGCTAACTTCCTTATAGAAAAATAAACATCTGGCAAGAACCTTTGAACACTTACCGTAAAGCTCACTGCTCCGGTTTTCAGTTAATCAGCTTAACGCTCATGTTACTAACTGAATACCAATTGTCCGTTTTCACACACTTTTAGTAATAATCTGTAGGGATTATCCATCTTGTGAATCTGTTTTCCAGGTCTGTGTATGCTCTGTATACAAAGGACGTGAAAGTAAAAGGGATCCCTGGGTATCGCTTCGTCCCCCCCGATGAGGTGTTTGCCAATCTGACCGTGAACCCAGCCAACACGGGCTTCTGCGTTCCCGCTGGCAACTGCCTTGGCTCTGGCCTGCTCAACGTCAGTGTGTGTAAACAAGGTGGGGGGGGTGCTTTAGCAGCAAGCCTGCGTGAAGAATGAGACGATACATTAGTATGTCACAGAGGTGTTATATGTTCTGGATCCTGTACAGTGGCTTCTGTGAAGTGGTCTTTTTTCTGTTTAGGTGCCCCCATCATTATGTCCTCGCCCCACTTTTACCAGGCAGATGAAAAATGTATACGAGATGTTTTTGGGATGAGGCCCAATAAGGAGCAACACCAGACTACCATCGATATCCATCCGGTACGACTTTCATTCTATGCCTGCAGTACAAAACCCTACCACTAGATGGTGAACTGTTTCACATTAGCAGTGGTTAATCAGGGAAACGTGGTTAACTATTAAAGTAGAGGTGAGTGGTACGGAGCTGTCTCCAAAGATAAGTTCAGGCCACTCTTATCGGGTCTAATAACTGTAACCATTCCTGATAAGTGGACAGAAAAACAAACACCTGTTATGCTGTAAGCACCCATGATGAAGGGATGGGTTCTGCAGATATAAAGTTGCTCTCATATTGATTTAAATGTGTTGAACCCTGAAAAACTAATTTTAAAAATTTATCTCCTTCACCTATCTCCTGCATTAGCTTCTGATAGAAAACAGACGGTGAAACAGTGGGATTAGAAAAGTCTG